CCCCCCCCCCCCCCCCCCCAGGCCCGGCCCTCACCTCTTCTCCCGACGGCCGTTCCCGGTGTCCCGGAAACCCTTGGCGAACGGGTTGTTATCGATCTTCAGCTGCGTGATCTGCGGGGCCGGGGGGAGCGGTGCTAAAGTCAAGACCGGGCTCTCCCAGCCTTGGGGGTGGGGTGGGGGGCCGGGGCGCCCCGAGGTCAGCGGGTAGCTACGGAATGGAGAGCCAGCCGCGGTCGGGGGTGGGGTCGTGCCACCGGCTGGGGTAGTTGCAGGGAGGCCGGCGGGCGGGCGGGCGGGCACCTAGGAGAGCGACGGGGCCTCTGCGTCTCCAAAAAGCCTTATTCAAAGGAGACTCCCTCAGCACGCGCGCACAGGCCCAGGCAAACAACAGGCTCCTGCAGTCGCTCAGGTTAAACTCTTCCCCAGCACAGACAAACACTCAAGCCCGCACACCCAAGCCCGCAGGTCCAGGCAGGCCCAGAAGGGCAAGTTTACAAACAAACAAACAAACAAACAAATGCCTAGGAAACCCAACGAATTCTCCTGCTTCCACACACAGCTAAGACGCGCCATGTAATGTGTTTCTCCAGACAGACCCCTCGTTTACAAAGACACAACCAGAGACCCTGAGAACCCTCTCCTTTAGTGGAGGAGGGTGACCTACGAGGGCGCAGGCAGGCCGGAAAAGCCCTTTCACCTGAGGGAGAACGCGCTCAGCCTCTCCCAAAGGGCCTGCGGCCTGGCCTGGCTGGCCCCGGACAGTGGCTTAGAGGAGCTCAGCAGGGCTGGGCCACCTGTCCCGCTCTCTGGCTCCCTTGGAGGGTAAAAACTGGACCCTGAGTTCCTAGCATCTGTACAGCTTGGGCAGACTGCCTCAGGCGCCCTCTTTTCATTTAGATTCCCAGTCCTGAGCCAAGAAATGAACGAATAAAATGTAAAAATGTCAGCGGGAGCCTGAGTCTCTACTAATTGCTAAGTAAACATCTCCACTCCAGCTATGGCCCAGCTGTTCCAGTGCTTCAGGGGAGTGTATGTGTCTGTGTGGGTATGAGAGGGAGCCCGGGGGATTTCTGTGGGTGCTGCTCATGCGAATCTGAGTGGGTGGCGAGCTCGTCAAGCGCTCCACAGGGCTGCTGCTGTCTGGTGGGTTTCAACTGGAGGGGTAGGCGCCTGAAAATGTCGGGGTGGGGGGTGGGGAGGTGTAGATGGAAGTAGGGGCCAAGCCCGCTTCCTGCCCAGCACACCTTGTCGTTCTGGTAGGCAGTGACGGCGATGAAGTCGGTCTCCGGGAAGACGTAGGTGCGGAAGGTGCTGTAGGGCAGCTTGAGGATGTCGTTGGCTCGGACGATGTGGAAACGAGGCTGGTACTTGTGCATGGAGTTCAGGATCGTCTGCGAAGAGCCCAAGGCTCAGCCAGCAGTTCCCTGCTCGTCCCAAACCTTCCTGCCCTGCTACCGGGGACTGACAGTTCTCTCACTCTCTTTCTCTATTATTTTCACCTGCACTTCACTTTCTATTTTTTTTTCTCACGCTCTTTTTTTTTCTTTTTCACAGCTCTACAGTTCATCTCTTTCAATCACACACACCCCAAGTTGGAAAAAGAAATGAAACAAAACGGAAACAAATAAAACCTAATTTCATTCTTTTACTTCGCTTTTCCCTGGCATTAATGAGCTCCTGAAATAGTCCAGAAAGAGGTGTGTGTGTTTGTGTGTGTGTGTATGGGGAGCAATGTGAGGCTTCACTTGCTCAGGGAACCCTGAACCCTCCGTCATTTGCTGGGACCTTGGCTCAGGCAGAAATGGAGAGTTCCTTAAGCTTTCCCTTGCCTGGACCTCTGCCTTAACGAAGGGAAAGATCTCCAGAAAGCCCAAGGAGGAGAGCAGATTTAATTGTGGACTCTCCAGCCTTAGGTTAGGGCTAGCTGCCGGAGTGAGTCATGGCAGGTTTTCCAAGCCCGGCTTCTACAAGCCCTTAGCAGGGTGACCTCCACAGAACCTGGGCTGCTTGGCCCATTCTCTGTAGCACCTGCCCCAGTCTTGACTCTAGGAGGGGCTCTCAGAACCCTGATGGAAAGGGACTGAGGTTGAGGGCACCCTGGAGCTTCCCGCAAACTGTGGGCACACGCTCTTCCCCAGGCTTGCAGAACTGGGCTCTGGAAACCCAGGCCCAGTTTACCTGGCCTACAGGGCAGTGACGCAGACAGGAGCTTTCCAGGGGTCCCACTGATGACCCCCTCTAGAAATCCTCTAGCCTCCCTCTGCCCAGGCCACTGAGACTGACTGCACCCAGGCCCTCAACCCCTTCCCGCTCTGCCCACACTCACAAAGCCGTGCTTGTCGGAAATGTTGTTGGTCAGCTTCAGCTTGTGGAAGGCCACGGGCTTGGCCATCCACTGCTCGCCCGTGGCCGGACTGTCCGGGTGGATGTACATTCGTTTGGGCATCTCCGGGTCAGCCTTGCCTGCCACCATCCACCGTGAGTTGTGAAACTTGTAGCGACAGTCGTCCGCAGCCACGATGTCCATCAGCAGGATGTACTTGGCCTTCTTGTCCAGGCCGCTGACTCGCACCTTGAAGGGGGGGAACATCCGCCTCGGAGGGAGGGAAGGGGGACATGCCATTGGGACCTGGCTCTGTTCGCCCCCTTCCCTTCCTGATGGCTGGACAGCCCTGCCTGAAGTTCCCCATCCGTGTTTGTCATAATGCCCTCTACAAGTGCTCTCGGCTCCCGCCCGGGGACGGGAAGCCCTAACCTGGCTCCCAAGACATCTATCTCCTTTCTGCTGGCCAGACCCTGCTTTGCAAAGCCTTGGATGGCTTATGCGCTCAGGTCAGGGGACCTTTCCTCCACTCTGAGCTGAGAGGAAGGCTGATGCCCAGGAAAGGAAAACTAGGCCTTTTAGAAACACGCTGAGTTTTTCTGAATTACTCTCAAGTTCGGTCAGAAATAAACGGCTTGGGACAGGGGTCGTAGAAACAGACAAGCAAGGTCTTTGTCTGGGGAAAGGATTCGGAGCCTTGATCAGGGCTCCTGGGCCCGGCGTTTCGGGTGATCAGGGTGAACGGGGAACCCGAGGCCTGCAATGTCAGAGGCTCAAATGTTGGGCGGATGGGGGATTGTGCTTTCCTTCTGTCTCTAAGGCCCCAGGAGGTGGCTGGTCCTGAGCTCCAAGCTCCAAGGACAAGCGAGACCTTCTCCAGGGCCTAGCTACGGGCTCAACAGCTCACTGCCCTGCCGGAAGCAAGCGGCCGGTCTGGAGCTGGCCGGAGGCGGGATGCGAGTCCCATTAGGGGCTCCGGGCCCGGAGCGCACCATCCGGGGAACCGGGGAAGGCGCCTTCTCTTAGGGACTCCGAGACCGACCCGGAGACAGCAAAGCGAGACCGGCCGGAGCCCAGCCACTGTGGGCTGTGGGACTCGGGACCAGGCTGGGACAATTCTTTAGGAGCGTGTTTTCGTTTGATTTCAACCGAGAGATGTTTGCTTTTTTCCTTTTCATCCGCTCGGGTGCCAAACGAAAAAATAAAAAAATAAAAAATAAAAAAATATAAAAAAGCCAGCTTGCTTGTCTGTGGAGGTGAGCGCGGCGCCGGGGCCGGAGCGGGGCTGGCTGAGAGCGCCAGCCGGGGACAGCGGCTGCTGTCCGGTCCCCTGCCCGCCCGCCCGGGGCCCCGGCCTCCCGGCCGCCCTACCTCCCGGACTTGGTGATGACCATCTCGGTGCCCAGCTTGTGGAACTGGTCCCACAGCTCCTTGGCCTCCAGCGTCACCTTGGGGTCGTCCTCCACCTCGTCGGCCGGCTCCAAGCTCTTGAGCGAGCGCAGATGAGCGGCGGC